GGCCACGCAGAGCACGGCGCCCGCCGCCACGGCGCGCGCGGGCAGCACCACGCCGAAGCGGAACAGCATGAGGGCGGCCGCGGCGCGACGAGACGCGACGCGAGCGGCGGGGAGGGCGCCCGTGCGGCCGCCAGGGGGCCCCGCCGCGGCGCCGCTTCCGGCGGCGGCGGGAAGGGGCAGCCGCCATGTCGGGGCGCGGGGGGGTTCGGAAGGGAGCGCTGTGGGCAGGGAGGGAGCCCTCGAGCCCCCGCACGTGCCTGCGGCGTTTCCAACGCTTGGAACGCACCTTTGGGCTTGACCTTGAACAAGCACCGTGGTGTTTGTGCCGTCCCTTCAGGCGGGCACCTCGCTGCACGTGTTAAAATGAGAAATGTAAAAGAACAGATTATTATTATTTTTTAATAYGCGGCTGCAAGCATTTTGTTTTGCCCTTCTGATGCCAATTTGGCAAGTCTTACACGTAGCAATAAGCAGGACTTGCAAGGAGTGGCGGCGAGGGAGGATGTGGTCCAAGCCCTCATAGCACAGGCCTTGTCTGAGTACAGCCACTGGAGAAGCAGCTAAGGACAGACACAGAGGATTACTAACTTTATCTAGGTCAGGCTCTGGGAACGGGCCTTTCAATGAGGCAAAAGAAATCCTGCCTCAAAAGATGGCTTCTTATTTGCTGTGTGCAGCGGCGATGACACACTGAAGCCTATGTACTGCCAAATTTGTTCTTCAAGACTGCTTTTTACTGGTCCTGATTGAACTTGTGTAAGTGATAGGCCACAACTGTGCCAGGCATAACCAGAGCTAAAGGAATCCTGGCCTCCCTCCCTGYGTTTCTGTGGGCACCAGTTCTCATTGCAGCACTGTCACTTTTACAGAACAAAGCAGCACAGTTCAACCCTTACCTTTATCCTTAATCCTTCTCGTAAGGCGCTGCTGAAGGAAGGAACCCTGCAGCCTGTTGCTGCGCGGGGCTGGCCAGTCAGGAGGGCTGCGTCTCCCGGGGAGTCCTGCTGCTCTAACACTCTTGCCATTTGGCTCCCTCCAGTTCCTTGAACTGCCGCTTTGTGTGGAATTGTCCTGGTACTTTCATGAAGCTGGGGATCTGAAAATTACATTCAGGAAACTTGATACTAATAATGATACTAATCCAAAATAAAGATACTAATCAAGAAGTCTGACAGTAGTGTACACTAAAATAAAAGACCTTTTTCTATAATTGTTCATTTCCTTTGCTTTTTTTTTTCTYCTGATTTGCAGAGTGGCTGTCAAGAAGAGAAACAGCACACAGCTCTCTGAACAACATGAACACGACTAAAATAACAGATCAACTTAATGCTTTATTTATTAGAGTGGTCTGTGYTCATACCACACATCTTGACTCAGGGCAAGCTGTTTCACCAGGGGCCTGTTTGCTGCTTGGCTCTGCCTTATCTGTTGTTGCTGCACAGTGATCTCAAACGATACTTCCAAGTAGGGGAATTGCAGTGAAGATAGGGGTTGCAAAACAAATCCACGCACACAGTTACTGAAAAGACTTGGTCAGAAAAGGGATGATAATTAGATCTTTCCTCATGCTGATTCCAAGCTTTTGGTGATGTTTGAATTACTGTGCTYCTTCCTGGATAACTCTTCCCTTTTTTGGTCATTTTCTTTCTTGTAAAGATACGGAAAAAGTGTTATCACAATTTTCAAATGTGAGCAGTAATTATAGCAGCAAGAAAGGCAGCACTCTGTACAGCCTCTCTCACAGGGAAAAACACATTTCTGTTACGTGGTAAACTGATTTAGATTCATTCAYGATTTGAGCCAAGTATTGTCTGCTAGAAAATTCGGACAGTCTCTGTTTCTTTAAAGAGAATGGGCTAAATGTAAAAATAGTCTGATACAAAGAATTAAAAACTACCATTTTAAGTGCAAGGTGCTGATGTTGTTGATTAATTATCTAAACTAGCCTGGGCCCCATGGACCCAAGCTTTCTAATTGAAATCAAAGTGATCTTCTGATGGTGATGACCAAAGTCTCTTCTTCTTATAACTTGGCAGTACAATAACTAAGAAAGGAAAAACTGAGATATCACCTTTCTAGCGGGATGTATAAAYAGTTTTAAAAGTAGTTACCACATAAGCACTGCCATTCCCTTTTTATAGTTGTAGGTGCTGTTTCATAGCACACGTAACTCCAAAAAACTGCTTTAGCTTCTGAGTGTCAGTTTATGTATTATTTATGCCTGTTAAGCAGGCTAAGCAACAGAAATTCTGGACTGAGTGAAGATTTTAATAGTTTCATTAAAAAATCATATTGAAATAATAGGTGGGACACTATAGGAGAGAACTTTCACTTCTGCATATCATTTCGTATAGCGTTTTTTCCTAAACTTATAAAAATAATTTCTCACTTTTAAAAGTAACTAGCCAGCTTAAATATGCAATAATATTACAGTAATACATGCAGGAATAACTATTCCAGTAAGCTTTTTCACAATCAGTGCTTCTAATAAAAATTCATCTCTGCATCCTCCCCATCCAAAGCGCTTTGGGACCTGGAGAAGGTCCCACCGTATTTCTCCAGAGGGCACTTTCAATGTCCCATCAACCTCATCAGTGCCCAGACACCAGCAACTACAAGTGAGCCCAGAACCCGGCTCCCTTCCTGCTTTGGGCAAAGTGACCCGCACAGTTCTCCCAAGAAAGCTCTGTGCAAGCCGTTCACAGTTCTCATGGAACATCCACAGCAGGAAAACAGAGCAGCTCCAGGCAAACTTGGAGCTTCTTTCCTAACATTAACGTGGCACTTTTGCCTGGCACAACGAGAAGCCAAGGATTTATACAAAGAGATTGTGTAAACTCCTGTAGGAGAGCAAATATTGAATGATTGTAAGACAGCTTGAGMCACTCAACAGAAAAATAGTGTGTAAATTGTTTCTATGCCAGCCTTTTACTTACCAATAGAACATCAAGATTCTTATTAAATACCCACCTGAGAAGAGGTACAGCCCTTTTGGAATAAGGAACAGTGTAAAACAAAACATTCAACCATTAGAAATAGCAAAACATTATTCCATCAGTTAGAAGAGTATAGTTTGACCCAAACTTAATGTGCCATATACCAGGTAAACTTTTAAGTGGATGATGTGYTTTCTTTTTAGAGACTTCTGTGTAGTCCTTTTATGCTTAGTTTGTTGACTTCAGAGTATAAATGACTAAATTACTGATTTTGAATTTAAGAACAATAGAAATCCCAAACGGTGGTGRTAGTTACACAACAGGCGAATGGATGCCCTTATATTAGCTTCCAAAGCAACTACAGGAAAGTGAAGCAAGGAGAGTTTGCCCTCAGTTTGCCCTTGAGCAACAGATATAGTACTGCAACACATCTCTAGCTCTCTAACAGGCTACTAAAAGGCATAAATTGCTTTTTCTTAAAGCCCTTTGTATAGATTGGAGATCGATGAAGCAATTATCTTCAAAATGGGGGCAGKGTCAAGAGAAAGAAAAACCCAGTGCCAGAAAACACCCCTGCCTCCTAGCCAGGAGACCCACTACCTGATAAAGAAGAGATTGTATCATCTGACCAAACAAGCATGGAAGCAATTTGTTGTTCAAATACATATGGGTATGTATTTGAGCATATGGGGGAGCATATTTGAGCATATACGAGCATATGGGGATCCTGAAAATCTACTACCCTGTCTTCTTGTATTATGTTGCTGTAACACTATATAAAGCCAATCTATAGCCATTTCTTATTTTCATATGTTTAGCATTTTTGCAGCTGCATACTTTTCTATTAAAAGAAACAAAAACCAAGAAGAACTTTATTCCAGCTGATTTGCACGTGCTTCAGCAAGCTCCACCGAGTCCACTTCTCTGACACACAAGTAACCCTTGCTGAAGAACAGACTTCTATTTCCATCCCGCCATAAAGAAACTCTTAAAAATACGCCCTGCGGTCCAGGAGGAGTGAGTAAACGGCCTGAAAAACAGCAGCCGCGCCAGCTTCCTCAGGTCGTGGCAGCGTCTTGCAGCCAAGAGCCAGAGGATGCTTGCRAGACTAGATCACAGGCAGGACGCCTGCGACCTAATTTAGCACGTGTGTGGTGCAGGGCACCGTAGTAGTGACCYGTCTCCAATGCAGTCGGGTTCCCCACAGAGGCCTTTCTGGTGGCACAGCCAGTCCCACAACACGGTCCCACCAGGGAGCCACAGCTCGCTGCTCCAGAACTGTACGTGGCCCTTAAGCCACCAGGTGGCCACCTCTTTTTTTCTTCTGTGTTTACCCTTCTGTATGTTGAAGGAATGGGATGTGTGGACTCTTGCTCCTGAAAGCGGATCAGCTGTGTTAATGAACAATATTTTAGCCTTGCCAGTACAAGAATGTGCATTTCATTTGAAACATATAAACAATCTCAGCGTGGARTGGGAGTTGTATATTACATGTAGAGCTCAGATTCTCTTGAACAGTTCTGTGCACATTTGCATTTTCAAATGGCATGATCTTCCTCCGTCCTCATCTTCTGACCCTTATTGCAGTAAAGTTTCTTGGAAATTCATATGTAGAGCTATTGTCCTGCTCACAGATTCCTTTTTAACTGTACACAATAAGTCCTACATACATATACTTAGGTATAAGATTCCCAAGCCAAGACCATTATAGAAGACATATTAAAAAACAGAAAACAAAAAACACTTGCCCAGAGCCTTTCTGAATCTGGGATACCCCTAAGTAGAAAAATATTTAGATTCACAGATCTGTTCACAGTTTAGTAACAGATAATAATTCAACTAAAAATAGTTCTCCATTATGTCATTCATAATATCAAGCATATTATTACYACAATTACATGCTTTTCCAAATCTTGATTAATCACCCTCACTTCTAGGTAAGTGTAGGTAAGATTTTTTTTTTTAATATTATCAGATTTAAAAAAAAAATGCAAAACATATAGTAGAAAGATTCAATGTGACTTTAGCTAAATCATTCTGATTTGGAAGTCTAAAGTTAAGACTTCAAATTATTAGAAGTAATTGATATAACAATGGCCTTTGTTCATTTTATTAGGATGTAAAAGGACTAAGACCCTCTGGAAATCTGCTTTTCCTTTCAGTTCTTYAAGCTACATCTTTGGGTATCTAACATCAGTACAAATTTCAGTTTAAGACTTATAAAACCCAAACTAATTAGTATTTATAAAGCTATTAAATAATGATCTTCAAATTATCTAATTCAGGCTAGTGTATCTGGAAATTAGGAGGCTCACTGGGGAACATCCAGTGAGATATTATTGTTAGAAAAATGAAAGTAAAAGAACAGAAAGAAGAAAAATGAATCGGACAAAGAAATTGTTCACTGTCTGGACTATGTAGACCTCAAGGGAGGCAAATCACTTTTTCCATTGCTGCTGCAACATCGTGCTTTGTGCCAAGCTCTATGGGTTTCATTAAAATTCACATATAATCAAGTCAAACTTYAAAGGGGCTAATTACATTTCAGCTACTGATGTGGATACTATTTTTTTTTCTGAACATTATAATCCTTCTGGTTTTCAGAAATGCTTGCAAATATTATATCTTTGTCTTTAGGGACATCACCAACCAGAGGAAAATAAAAGGGAAAACTACCAAACTGTTACTTGGCAGCTGACTAGAGTTAAGGTTAATTGTACATTATCACCTACGACAGCTTATTTCAGACTTGYAGAACAAAGTAGTCTCTAATTGAGACATATTCTAAACACTAGCTCTTTTTCCTGTAAACTTAGTATCATTGCCATTTGCTCAGGCAGGAAAGTGTATAATACATATAATTCCCACAGATAAACAGTGAAAAGACTTTTCTGTTGAGACCAAAAGTATGCAAAAATAATATTTWAAAAAAAATAGTAATCAGCCATCATCACCTTTTGCTCAGTACTTTAAGGTAAGTTGCAGATAACATTTCCCAAGTAAACAATTTTGTTAATATTTTGGGGCATAGTGCTGGAGATTGAATGTTTTCGTCACAGACTTACTATTCTGCATTTGTTAATATTTGCTTTGGTATTGCATTTGCTTAAACATTATTGCCAGCATAAATTTGAGAAAATAAAAACTGAAATATGTTTGATACATTGATCAAACCGAGCATAAAATGGACTCTGCATGAATTTCAGAGTTTTAGTCACATTCACAGTTTTAGCATCTTACTTCATTCGTTTTAATATGGTTACATCCTTAGGGAGCAACAAAGCAATTACTTTCTCTCCAACTCAAGTTGCATTATAGATGACTTTGTCAGAACATCTCCATCACAGCAACTTTAAAGGCCTTTAATATTGACTTTAAATGGAGTTTTGAAAAATCACTACTTCTATTGTTAATCCCATTTACACTGATGTAAAAACCAACAGAGTAGTGTCTAATGCCACAGATGGAAAGAGCAATGACTGAGCAAGTCTGCCGAGACGCTGCATTTGCCAGTGATGGGATCACTGCCACTATGTTCCTGTTATACCTCATGGCAATTCCCCTATCAAATTGTTGTGGAGTAATGATTCATTAGCAGAATTGTGGTAAATGAGCACATCAATTCTCCCAGTCTGTTCCAGCTGTGAACACACAAGCTAGCACTGCCTCCACATCTCAGCTGATTAATGGGTAACCCAGTAACTGGTGATTATAAACCATGTGGCCTCACAGAGCTGGGAGCAGGTGACTCCYTCCGTGTTGATGAGTACCTTACCGTGAATGGTCTGCAGCTGGTAATGCCCTTCATCTTTCTTCGATACCTCCTTGGGGTATTTTCAGCTTAATCACAGCTCTGAAAAGCATCTAATTAACATTTTGTCTCCATGGATGGGAGGCCAAACCGAACGTTCTCTTCTGATCCCCTCACAACTCRGTACTTACCCATGACCGGATGCAGCACGCAGGCTCTGGCCTTCTGGCCAGCTTTTCCCTGGTCTCTGTTAGGTCATCCCAGTTCACTGACTACATTCACCCAGCTCCGTGTCCTTCTTGGGGTCTGCCCATAATTAACACATTCATCCAACTTCTGTCACCTAAAAACATCTTAAGAGTCAAGCAGCATACTCACAGTGCAGGCTGTGCCCTACTCTAAGGCAGTACTTGCCAAACTTTTTGCTGTGACCATGGATGTGGCCAGAGCAAAACTAAAGTCTGCAGTTAGCATTTATTTTAACTCTCAAAGAATAATAATTTTCTGCATGTATTCCACTTATTTTGAAGATCTTTTACTGATGCCTTATTTCACATATGGCTGTTTTGTCCATCTTTAACACAGCTTTGTATAGGTAACAATTTCCAATAGATTTCTCACTATAGTGTCATTCTGTGACTGTTTAATGTAGTAGACTAATGTAGTATCACTTCTTCTACAAAGAGAGAGAGAAAGAATATTTAGGATTATCTCTCTCAGTGACTATAATGCGAAAAACAATTGCTTATTTCATGTTCCTTGTATGCTTGATCTGTAGAAAAGACAAACTAAATCTTCCACATATGAAATACAATAACCACCAGACTATTACCTACTTGCTTTTCTTCACACAATATTAAAAAAAAAAAAAAGTGTTTCATTCCACAGCAGAAGGAAAATACTGCTTAAAACACAACCATTTTTTTTTTTTCCGAGATGGTATTACAGCTTTCTAACTGGATATTTTGGATCAACATCCTGAAGCAAAACTGTTYAGTCACCTAAGTAAGAGGAAACAAGAAAGTTATTAGAACACAAGATCTTCTGAGCGGGGATATTTCTACCCATCCACGCCACACTCATGCGTGTACCCGGCAATGTGAAACCAATCACTTCTTAGCCATGTGCTGGGACCTTCCCTCTGGTGCTCACATATCTCACCTGCACCGCAGGACCTGGCAGTCTCACATCTGGTACAGATGGACACAGCAGAAAGCTCCCAGTGGAGAGAGAATGAAGTGTTTTCCCCATTGCGTGACCTCTCCATTTGAATCGAGACAGTCACASGAACAAATTCCCACAGAGACAAAAGACAAACTGCTTCCTAATGTTTTTCTGCTGCATTTATCTCAAGATAACGCTGTCCTCACGGAGTCATTTGCTCAATCCCATATATATGCTTGTTGGATTGGATCAGGCAGAGTAATCTGATTTCAAAGGAAGAATTAAAGAGTCAAGTATTAAAAAGGTTGGCAAAAAAATGACCAGTGTCTTAGCAAGGACCTCCTAGGATCACAAATAAAATCAGCAGTAGAATCTTATACTTGAAATGGTCTCAGCCCTTTAAAAAAGAAAACACTGAAAACACTGGGATTTTTCTCAGTCATTTACATACTAGAGCTAGTCAAATCATATCCAGATGCTCATTATTCTAAAATTAGTAATTTTGTCATCACCATTTAAGCTTCACTTGAAAACTAAAGGGACAATAAAACAATAGAAAAGAGACTTAGCTAATCACATAACTGTTTTGTTCAAATGAAATTCACCCCACATAGATAAGAAAGTGCATCATTTTCATGCAAATATAACCATTTATATAAGTTATTTACTTGTCAGGTTCTCCTACAAATATTAATGAACACATTTTATATATGGAAGCAAGGCAGAAATCCATCAATGAGAAGATTTTTTGTTTAACAGTTTTTCATTCTTGTGCTTAAGCCATTCATGTTTTTGTGACAATTTAGGATGCAGCTAAGTAGAACAACAGTGGAATATCACTAAAGCAGAAATCCCGTTCTTCTGGTCAATTCTACAAATCCTGTCTCGTATGACCTTGGGAAATTCTGTTTTTCCCTGCATTTTTCAGTTAAACGATACACCATCATTGCACACACACATATATAGCCTCATGTAATAGAAAAATAAGCAGTGTGTAGATCTGTTGCTGCATGTGTCGCAGAGTTTGGTTTATCTGAAGGGCAGGCGTGGTGTGAACATTTGTTACCACATTTCACAGTGCATTTATCARCGATAACAAACGCCTTCTGGGCTGCCATTCCATTACCAAGATGCATTCAGACCTACCTGTCTTTTGCTTTGCTCCTTTCTCTTCCTTCCATTTCCTCACTCACTYACACCCCCTTTCTTCGGGAAATCCTGACAAAACATTCCCTGCATCAAACAGGCCCTGTTTTCGGCTCAGCCGTCCCACGGGCTGCCCGGGCCCCGCACCAAAGGGGCTCCCTGCAGCGAGGCCTGCGCCCAAGGCGACCGCCATGCTCCACACGGGGAGGCCGGGTCGCACCGGGAGAAGGTTCCAGAACGCAGGGGGCAGCCGGGCGCCCCGCRCCATGGGGAGGCCATGCTGGCGCCAGCCCCTGCACGCACCAGTGGGACCCTCAGAGTGCCCCGTGCCCTCCTCACTACGAGCCTGTTGCTCCATTCAGTTTTCCCCTCCAGTTTGCTGTACTGCTACAAGATTGACCGCGTGCAGAACAGCTCCTACTACAAAAGTGAAACACCAAAAACATGCTTTAAACCCTGTCTTTCCTTTAAACGCCTTAACTTTTACAAGGTCTCAGAAACATTCAGTTATGCTCGTTTTTCTCTGCACTGTTATACAACCGCTGCAGTCTACAGCTCACCTAAAGATGGTCAAAGACACTTCAATAGGTTTCTGACTGAAGGAATTCAAATCAGCCTCCTGGTACTACAGGAAGCCAGCTCTCCACTGACTTTAAATCCCAGTTTAGTAAGAACACTTCAATATAGTTTATCAGCAGTGTTCTTCCAAAAAAAAAAAAAAAAAAAAAAAACAGACAAATCCTCCAGAATACTCTGAGCATCAAGAAACTGAAAAGACAGACACAAAAAAAAAAATGCCTTACACAGCAGAGTATCTGAATCCACTTATGGAGAATGGAAAAGCCAATGGCCCACTTTGCACACTGGGTATGTCTGTCTAAACACTGTAATAGCCACCAGTTTGCAGTGGTGGCTGAAATTAAACCGTGAGTCACACCACATTACTCAGTACAGTTTAAGATTCATTTATTGGGTAACAGATTTATGGAGTATAGGTACATTTTTAAATACTATCAATATGCTCCCACTGAAAAATGGCAGAGCACAAGGTTAATCTCCTGTTTTAACAAGGTTTTCTTCCGCATTTTGCCATTCTGCATACAGTCTGAATCATTATTCTCTGTAACCACCTTAAGTTAAAAGCACCTCCTTTTGGGCAGTGGCTTTCTACAGAAAAATGGAAGCAATAGACTTGGAAAGATTTTCACAAACAGGTGGCAGGGGCGTATATTATTTTTTGACCATATTTCCTATTTATTTTGCATGGAACCTCCCTCCCCCCAAATCCACAAGGTACAACTGGAACCCTTAGTTCTGAATACTGAAGGRCTGGTGGTGATGAGCTTTAATAAAATAAAATAATTAAAAAAAAGTACAATTGTACTAAAAGAGAAACTCCAAAAGTTTTATTAGGATTTTAACAGACATTGCAAAAAAATATTGCATAATGATTGAAAACATAATATTTTTAACAAAGTAGTAATGTGGTATCAAGTAAAAGAAAATCTGGAACAACTGTCTACATATGCTGTAAGGAAGATGTACCAGGAAAGGGATATGACATTTTTAAAATTCAAGGGCAAATATTAACAAGAAGCCACATTTTGATAGACTGACTACACACCACAGATGTTTTACAAACTGCATAGCAGCGTTTTTTAAAAAAAAGTGTTATCCTAATGATACTGTATTTCTGCATTTGGAGCAGCTTACAAGGCAGAGATTTTGTTTATAACATTGATATTTTAATAGCTCTGGATTCTCATAAAAATAAACTACTTTAACTAGAAAAAAAAAAAAAAAGCCTGTATCTACATTTGAAAACAAAAGTGCATGTTCTGAGAAATAGTGTTATCTCTGAAGAAGAACACTGAGTACTTAAAAGGTTCATTTTAGTAGATCAACAGCTGATGGTGCTTTAGACATGGATCTGCACTGCGCTACAAGTGAGATTCTTCCAACACCAGCTCCCACAGCTGAGCACCCTCCTCTCTGAAGCAACCAGGACACTTCTGCCTGCCCTGAGATGACCAGGGCCCTGGGTAGTTACAAAGAATGGCAGCTACCAAAGCCCACCACGGTGCTGCCCCCCAGCCCTCTAGAAAAAGAGGAAAAGAAAAAAAAATCAGTAACCCAAGACAGATATTTTAAAGTCAATTTAGTCATAAAACTCTTCAACATCCAGGAGCCTTCCAGTTGGACAACTGCTTTTAAACACTGCTGACAAGAACTGTTGACAGCTTCTCTCCTGCCTTGTGCTGAAGGATTTGTGGGAAACAAGCTTTATATATGATGTGCACTCCAGAGAACAGGGTGGTTTCTTTATAAACCCACCTAAAATCCAGTTGGCGTGGCCAGCTGTACACAGACCCACATTCTCCTTTCCACATAACTGTGGTGACAGCTAAGAATTACCACCAATGCCAGCAACTTCTGTGGAGGGTTCACTCCCTTTCTCCCGCTGGCCAGAAGAATGAAATGGTGGGAAGAGGACAGAGAGTTAAGATCCAGGCAGAGCTTTTGCTTAAGCTCTCCGGTAATTTCAATTCATGGCACTAAAGAACGAGATTTAATTTCTTTCTGGGCACCCTTAGCACTCTGCATAGAAAAGGCAGTGCATGTTTAGCTGGGCCGGCCCCAGGATGGGAAATGCACAGATACCAAAGTTGTGAACTGCAGCCAGACTAACCATAAACAAGTGTCCAGTACAGAAATTACGAGCAATAAATTCAGCTATTTTTGTAAACATCTCCTCCTTACTAATCTCTTTATTTTTCCTATAATGGAAATATGTACTGTATTTCTTTGTTCCAAGCACTGGTCTGTTTCTGTTTTAGCTTTGTGGCACAGTTGCTAAGTGCAASAGGCTAGAGACGCTAACATTAATACAAACAAGGTGGAAAGTCAGTTCAAGTTACTACRGAGTCTGCTATACCAGGGCGTTTTTCATAGCTCGTGTTCTCTATTCACAAAGGCCTTGTAAGATCTTTCGTTATGGAAGACTGGAAGCAAATTAGAGCCGCTTGTTTAAAGAGAAGTAGTTGAATATGTATTTCTGATGTGCCGTATGCAATTAATGAATCATGTCTCATCTTATGAAGACGATACATTTAATATTCATGTCAGTAATTTAAAATGCTCCTCAAAAAAGCAGCATTTTTATAGACAAATTAACAGAAAGGAGACAACACATCTCACGATACCATGAAACAAGTAAAGCCCTTTCATTAGCTGCATTATAAATTCATAACTGCTAATCCCATACTTTGAATTCTGACTGTTCTAGCAATTTAACCCTCAGCCAACTGCAGGACAAGGGAAAAAAGCTACATCAGATGTCACTGTAGGTGTGAGAGTAAAAACTTGCATTCCATGTTTTATCTTTAAAAGTTTTGCTCCCAAAATTGAAGTAACTGTTAACTAGTTTAAAAAAAAGAAAAAAATTGTTGATAGGTCAAAAGCAAGTTGTGCTAAGAATTAAGCTGCTGTAAATCAGAGTTCACTTAGCTCATTACTAACATTTTTAAATGCTTATCCTAGATCACCTGTTAACCAGGAAGAGCACTAGAATACTGATTTCAAGAGAAAAGCTGAGTGTTGGTCTGCTTTGACTTTTTCCTATTTTTTAAAATATTTGGATGATAATTTGTTATTTAAAAAAAAGACCAAATACAGAGAGCACTTTTGGTCAGGATCATGTCCCACTGCAACTCAGTGTTTTCTGTATAAATGTGCACACTATTAAGAGGCCATTTTTGAAATGCTATCAGTCAACAGAAACACGGGCACCAGTGAATCAGAAAACACACCTTAGGGTTTTGTTTTTAAATTATATAAGTTAGATAAAACTACCCTGTCCAGCAAGTTCCGAATTTTTCAAACGTTAAGGCAACTGTCATTACTTTCCAGCTAAACAGTATTATAAAAAATAAATGTCACTTCAAACCTTATATACACAGTGACAGAGCAGATTTAGCTAGAAAGTATCTTTAGTACATTAATAAAGTGTCACATAGTATTACCGAGGCTATATCAGGTGCTTGAGTGGATGTGCAACTGGAGGGGCTTCAATGCTTAAAGTACAGGTTTCAAAACGGAGCGCAGCGACCGTCCCTCTTTAGTGAGTTCCCGTGTCACACACATGCATGGCAGCGGAACAGCCTCCTCTCTCCTCTCTACAGCGTTGTAGCTACACTTCTTCAGATGGTCGGCCATGCTCACGATGTCCGCAAACTTCCACTCCTTCACGGTGCAGAAGGCTGTACTGAACCGCCAGACCTAGAAAGCAAGCTACACTCAGGCTCAAACACACCTAGACAGGATCAAGGAACTAAATGTTTGCTAGCACCTTCAGACACCTTTTAAGGTCTACTAGGACTTTTGCTGAGATTCAAAATGACAAAGAAACAAACAAGGCTTTTCTCTGGACAGTCCACTGCAGGCTGATTCCTATTCCATGTTGAAGGTGAGCACTCTTTCTTGTGTCTACAAATTAGATCTGATGAACAGTTAAATGACAAAATGCCACGAGACCATAAAACACAGGGGAAGTCCATTTCTGAAGTGATATATTTCTGCAATTGCAAATTACCACTGCAGATACCCTGGCACTCCAGGGAGGAAGGCAGGTAATGGTGAAAAACATGCTRTACACAAGTGACCACCAAAAGGTTTAAGAATTATTTACATACTTGACTAAGGCGCAATAGCATGGCAAGGGATCCTAATAGATCATAGAAACAATAAAAGAAAACTGCTTAAAACAGTTTAAAGCAAGAAAATATCAAAGAAAACCATGATGTACATTTTGCTAGATAAACCTCTAATTTTTCCAAGATTTTAAAATATTATTTTTACATCATGTTAAAAAAAAAGGACAGACTCCTACTTCTGRAGGTGTGGAGAAAACTAAATATACTAGTTGCAACTGAAACAACCTGCTAACATTCTCTGCTAGCTGCATGAGACAGCCTGCCTCCTGAATCTACGCTTTCTATCTACGAACAGTATTACCAGTGGTGACCAGGCAAAATAATGCTCTGCCAAAGAGCGGACACACAGACACTTTAACAGCCCTTCCTTTTCAACTTCAAAGGAAGAAGAAACCACTTACTTTTTCTTTTATTTGCCAAGAAGAACTTCCATCCGGGTACCTCCTCTTCTCCCAGAGCAGTATGACCATTCCTCGTGCCTGAAGCAAGCTTCCACACACATCTCTCATCAAACGTGACACTCTCGAAAGCTGACATAAGCTGAAGCCATCTAGAAAACTAGCAATATGCTGCAGAACCTCAAAAGGCAGACTACTCAGGTGGTCGTTGTGTAGTCCAATTAAGCAGCTTTTTGCTGGTTCTACTAATACTGTGGATATGCAGGGCTGAACTCCAAACGACCGTAGGTGGCGATCATGAATTATTTTTGCCCCTTGTGTGGAAGGGCAAAACCTGCGTTGCGAATATGTGCACCCATAATACGCCAGCGGACACCTCTGCTCCATCCAGCCATTAAGGCCAGCATGAATGTCACCATGCACATTCTTAAAATGTGAAGAAAACTCATTCCTCCTAAACAACTGTCCACAAACAAATGTAAACATTGAACGCTGTTTTGTTTGGTATCGAGCCACATATTCCAAAACCAAATCCAGCCCAAGGGTCTGGAATGGACTTGGATTGGAGAGCTGTGGGTTGGCATGATCACACGCAGAAGCTGAAGCTATTTCCCCCACCATTGTGTTTGTGGCCAATATAGCAGATGGGAGAGAAAATGTTTGGGTCCCAAAGTCAACGTGATACACGTCGACACTGCGACTTTCCGATATTCCCCTGCCTCCGGGAGAGTCTCCTAGACAAAAGAGCAAAGCTGCTGTGATTAGATCAATCCCTTGAAGACCCATGGGATCTTCGGTTATCTCCAAATCTGATGTATCAACAGCTTTGTCTTCTTTTGGTGCAGACCAATAGTGATTAACGAGGAATTTGTAGGATCGATGCCGTAAAAGCGAGAAGGCATCGACATTTCTCAACCTTTCTTGCTCCACCTGCCTCTCTAACAATTCCTCTTCATTAGCATGATGTGGTACTATATGACTGACACTGCCATTAACCAAGTGATCAGATGGCATTACTTCTCCAGGCTGTGTTGCTGCAGGGAAGGGACTGCAAGGCTGTAACGCTTCAACCTCAGGAGACGCGGGACATTCACCGTTTGCTACACTGGACGACTCCAAATTAGACACACCAAGATCTTCATTCTGGTCCAACAGCTTTGAGCTTTCATTTTCTACATGAAAGCCATTACACAAAAGTGAAGAATTACTGAGGTTTCCATTTAAGTCATGTTTTTGCACTAAATCATAACAATTATCACTAGAACCATTTTGCTCCATTTGTGTATTCTGACTCAGACTATCAAAGGTGACTCCACCAACTGCTCCTATGTTATCTTCATCAGGATACTCATGGTCAGACTTTTTATCCTGAATAATTCCATTAGCAGCTTCTTCTTTGCTCTCTGTGTCTTCTCTCCTTTCATAGGGTGAAATGCCGAGCCTGGAACTTAACATGCTGATGTCCCGCGTAGCACTGTTCAGGATATCCAGGGCAGCAGCCAAGCTCCTTGTTGTTTCTACAGTGGCCTGATAAAGGGCACCGTAGGAATCTTCATCCACAGGCATGAGGCCGTTTGAATGCACTGCGTCGTGGGCACTTGATCTGACAGGRGTCGGCTCTCTGGATTCAGATATCTGATCCGCTGCTTTGGACATCATGGTCGCTACTTTAAGTGATTCTAGTAACATGCGTTGGTCTTGAAGCGCTAAAGCCATATCTAGCTGCTCCACTTCATCAACATCTTTACTCAGATTTTCATAAGATTTTCGGTCTGCGTAACTGACTGGCCATCTATTCCACTCCATGGTGCAACATACCACACTTGCGGGACAGACTTCTAGATGATCTGCAATTTTATTTCGGGCTACTATGAAGGGACACCCAAAGCCACTGTTCAAGCAAGGCACTCTTTCAAGTGGACACAAAATGCGATGCTCCTCAGCTTTGCACGAGTGAAAAACTGCTCCACACACCAAAGGGCATCCAATCAAATCACAGGAGGTGCCAGGCTCTGGTCTGGTCATACAGCGACGACTGACGCAGTTTACACAGTGCAAATGCTGTTGATGCTCCTCCATGACTCTAAATCCAACTCTGAATGAAGAGAAGGGAGACAGAAAGGGTAAAATATTAACTTAATATCTCTCATAATTAGGAACACTTATTTGCAGTTTTGTATTCTCTGTATGAGTGGGGAGATGTGCATTAACATCACATGACCTAATCAGTAGCCCTTTTAAGAGAACAAGAATGTAACATTTTATAATAAAAAGGTGTTTAAAAGTTCCACTGAAGATTAAGGACATTCATTTATACAAGAATTCAAGACATCTATTCACTAGATATGAAATACACACAACTCAAAAGCATGCAATGCTTCCCTCTGAAGCACCTCTTGTGCCCCTTCCCATTTCAAACAGATGCTTTGGTTTTAGTTGAAGTATCACCACTGACTATCCCTGGTCACTAAGAAATTCTAGATTACGTGATTTTACACAGCAAGGGAAGGAAYGGAGGAACTCAGATTTGTTCTCATCCACATTTCACCTCCAGCTCTCCAAAGAAGTGCCCTGGTTCCCCAGCTGCTTGTGTGGCCGGTATCTCTTGGTCCGCCTTCACACAGTTCCACGTAAGGCAAAAGGCAACGTGCCCTGTGTGTCTCTGAACCTCCTTGTGCCCCACTCTCCTCCACACTYGCATGCTTCTGCGTAGCCAGCCCTGCTCTGCAACAGCTTCTTGCCTTCCCCCCCCCCCACTCTAGTCCACAGTCTGGTCTGTAGCTCCTCTTATTTTTATAGCAGCTGTTGTACAAAGGTAGCAATTACACCATGCATTAAAAAAACTTTTCAGTTCACTGAAAGCCTTTACACTGAACTCTAGTGCCTGACATGGCTCCATATGCACTTTCAGCTCTACCTACAAAAAGACCCCCCCCACACACACACATTCCCTAATGACAATAGCTCAAAGTATAAGGGTAACATGGCAACTTCCCATTATCAGGTCAAACAGCAAGAGAAAGGTAGTTAAAAATCCACAAGCAAACTATTAAAATACAAGCTGGCACRCACAGTCATGGAAAAGAGCCATGTTTGTGTCTTTGTACCCTACTTCCAGAAGCTCTGACACTCTTTATTAGTCTGAGTGCACAAGTGCCTAAGCTCTCTTCTACGCTCTAACATGATACTGCCCTCAGAAAAGATCCCACTGCGAATGACAGTTCAGGGATATCTGAATGGACTACACAGCGGCCCAGCTCAAAACATTTTGCTAAAATACATTGCTCAGTTTCTTCTTTTGCTTACTGCCTACCTGCCCAAATTATTTTTCTTGAAAAATAAAATACTTGAAGGATTTTAATATTAACAAAGTTGTCTCCTTATTGTATTCTCCTGGCAGGCAAGTATTCTCATGCCGTGTCCTCAGTAGAAACTGAATTAAGTGAATTCAAACTTCTTAAACTAAAAATATTCAAAATTGACTGTAAAAATAAAACCAATTAGTATTATTCATTTTGCTCAAGTTGAAAATATGAAAAAACAAAACAGAATTTTAGTCATTTGACTTTAAAGTTAAATAACTTTCTATGTAATGCTTACCTCAGACGTATTCTTTTAGCATCTTTCAACTCATGCCAACTTTAAGTAGCACTCAGACCTCATCCCTCCATCCCTTATAATGTAGATAGCTCAAATGTTTTAGCCACCCACTCTTCTGAACAGTTCTAACAAAGAAGCATATGTGCTACACGTAGCAGGCAAAACACAGCTGAATTTATACAGTGAATAACAAATGCGTTTCCTCATCACACACTGGCAAGTGTGACACTCACTGAACTCCGTGACTGATTTGCTAAAGGTTTTAACAAATCTTTCTGGCACACAACCCCCTTTCACCTTACACATCGAGTCAGGCAGCACCTACAACCAGGAGATGAAGAACCAGAAAGGGAAAACTACCAGACTTTTGTGGAAAATCAACCCTATTCGTAGTTCCTCTGCCAAATCCCTTATTTAAACAATTCCTGCCAAATACATAACGCATCTGCACTAATGAATATATTTTTTCTGTTAAGAAAACTTTTACTATTATAAAATAATACCCTTACTTTTAAAATAAKAAGTTACTTAAGACTAAATATATCCTTTCATTATATAGATTTTTTTAAATAAGCCACCAGCTCCCATCTATGTCCTCCTACAGCCTACATTCAACTTTCACTATTGTATAAACAATCCCACAAAGGACAGGTCTTGCAGGTGGCCAGTCACACTGGCAGTTCAGTTGCAAAGCCAAAAGACATTTTTTTCCCCTCCATCTGTTTTGTTTTAAACAAGGTAGTCATTATACATCAGTCATCAAAAGTACTTCTACAAGGTAAGTACTGGGGGAGATACAAGTTTTACATATGACAGATATGAGCCATATTGAGCCATATATATATATGGCTCATATATATTTTTATATATATATATAAATAAAATTAAATTGCTGAGATCATTTGATTTCTACTCAAAAAGAGCAGGGGAATGTATGCTGCCCTTTACTGAACAGTACAGAGGTATGTACCAGTAACTTAGAAAAATGTACTGTCCATTCTGTTTTTATGATGCTTTGGTGGGTAGAAGAGCATTGGAAAGATGGGTTTTGTTAAAACTGCTTTGGAAATGACCACAGAACATAGGCATGGTAATGAAATTTCAAGCACTCATTGAAAACATGAGATACTTAACAGCACATACCTACAACTTGAACTCATCAACAAATCCAAGAAACTCTAACTAGATTCAAATGCTTCATTTCGTTTTGGAGATAGTCCATACAATCCACAACTGAACATCTAGCAGCCAAGCAGGGTCTAAAGGCAGTGAAAAAAATCAAACAGAAATATCAAACAAATGCACCTCAAGCCTTCTGAGTTTTGCATCAATATCAAAGCCAAACTCTAGTTTTCCTGGAGTCAGCAATTAAATAGAGATAAGGAAAAAACAAAATCTCTGATTATGTGTGCATTTTAAAAATACTTGACACACAAACTGGAGATACCTTAAGTCCTGCAAAACAATTGCCAGTTGCCAGCTCACCAGCTCACCAGCCCACATGGCACCCAGCACCCACTCCACCAACTCAAAAGCAGCCCCGCATCAGTAAAGCTCACTCGGTTCCCTACAACCACGTTTAGGGATGTAGCCCGCAGGGATGAGCCCCTGCAAGAAGCCCCTCTGCACCCTGCTCCCTTGCAGGTGGCCAGACCGGGGGCCCGCGCCGGGCTCGGCTGCCTCGGGGCCACGGCTGGCCCTCGCTCACAGCCCCGGGCGCAGTCGAAGCGAGCTCATGTTGGCCCGCACTGTTTGTGTAGACATACCCTAAATTAGTCAACCATCATTAAATGCTGTCTTTAAATAGCCTGCGTGAGCTTACACAGAAGAACATTCTATTAAGACAGTAAAACATCCTCCTCCCTAGCACGCTATCTTGGTCTTTACAAGTCAGAATCTGAAACCCGAGTGGGGCGACTAGAGCAGCTTTTATCAAACACCAGGACTGCTTTCAGGCACCGGCTGATGTTCACCAAAACTTAATGCTCTCACACACAAAAATGAACATTTGAAAAGAGTAAAGAGATAACTGGTGAAGATGACGAGTGTTGCTGACAGACAGTGTACAAAGGCCACATCAGACACTAAAAATACCGTGTTTTAGTAAGGTAGATACTAATTTAGTCTTGTAACAGATGCTGGTGTTTGCTTTTATAAAGTAGTTATGCATGTGATCAGTTGAATAGCTAAAGTAACCTATTCCCTCAGGTTCCTCAAATCAGAATGTTACGGATCACTAAAAAGTTTGATACTAAATTCCCAGTAAATATTTTAAATTCTCTTTGGACATCAGTAGAGCATCTGCATGGCATTTACCAAATTTTTATATCCTCCTCAGGCCTTAATTTTATAGCAGTTGCTGTAGAACCACAGTTTAGTCAGAATATCACAGCTTAATTAGAGCTTACTGTAAAAGCCCTTTAATGCTTTCTAAATGTCCTTCTCGTACATTTTTTTAGCRTCTTGCCTTCAAACCCCACAACTGCATGGTGGAGTCACGAGTTCTGGACTGCTTAGTTGGTTAAGGCTTTTCATACAATTAAGTTATCCAAACATAAATTTTAAATCCAAATACAAAAGTTAATCAAACAACCCTATCAAACAAGCACCAGGTGAAACAAAATGATGTCATCTCTAAAATGAGAACACTCATCATTCAGCTAATGGTCATGATTCCTTTAATTTTGTGAATTATGTATTCTTGTGAACCACAATTTAACATCTTTTGGATTCAAGGATTAAAAGCATCCACACGTGAATCATTTTTCTTTGAAGTAGCACATCTAATATTATCCCTAATATCACAYAGATAACTAGAAGAGGGACCCTCTTCCCAAACATTGCCTGGCAAAGAAGAAGAAAATAATACAGAGCAAAGGAGAGCTAAAAAAAAAAAATCTTGCTGCAGATAACAATGTCTAAACTTGCACTTTGAGTTGCTCTGAGATACAAACTAGAAAAAGCTAGCAAATGCAGTAGCTCTTGACCAGAAGAAAAATACAAATCTTTAAAGCAGGCTCTGAGTGTTTATACCTTATTGTGTTCTCTACCAAAATTTGCCAAGAAGTTAGAGGGTAAAATCAGCGACTATAGCAAGAAAGAACAGCTGTCCTTTCCTGATAGCCTAATGTCAGCAACTAGGCTGAGTTCATATGAGATGCTTAAGTATGCATACTTGACTGTTACTAGCAGAGAAACCTAAAAATACATCCAGTTCCAGTGAGGTGATCACTGCTCTCAGAATTTGGGCGATCACTTGATGTTATTGTACATACTATACGGTCAGCTGACCAAATTGGCCAGAACATGCTTTGAAAATCTGTCATAATTAAAAGGATTAAAATTCCAGCTGCTACAGCCACATGATTTTCAGTTGCTGTTGTAACATAAATATTAAAATAGCATAATAAGGGTTTCAAGCAGTGACTACACAATACTTCAGCTGCAACTGKGAGCTCTCACTGTTTCCTCCACTGCAAAGCAGAAGATGCCATACTACTTATTATCAAACTCAATTTCTGCTTACTTACTTTCCCCTGTGTAAATTCCTTTGCACCGATAAGATATGAAACGACYGTTACTGCTGTTGGAACTCTCTGTTACTCAGTCACATTTTATTCACCAAACCTATGAAGGCTCAGTTGTCTTTGAGACTCTTTCCTCTATCATATCTGATTAAATTTCAACAGTTTCTTACATTACTGGTTTAAGGAAGCAGATGAACAGAGAGACAGCAGCAGTGCTGCCACAGGTTAAATTCCCAAAGCCTCCAAGATGCTGCACGGGCAGCCAGATACACACAAAACATTCAAAATGTTTTGGAGGGTGCAACAAACCAAAGGAGACACTGCCAAACTACTGAAACTCCCACCTTTCACCCAATATGTGGGTGAAAGATCTGTAGCTGTGCCTAACTAGTCTCATAACATCTGGAGACTATGTGTTTTAGAGAGTAAAAGCACAAGGGCCATTTATGTCTAAAAATAAGTAAATAAAAAACACGATTGACAGATTTTCACAGTTTGAAAGACAAGAGGCATAAAAAGGATTTACAATACTTTGCCAAAACAGAATTGGTATCAATAAATAATGACCTACTTTATTTTTCTCAATTCCACCACATATGGGCAAATAACTTTCATTCACCTTGACCACTTGGTCTTCCAGATGTATCAAGCAAGCTTTGTAGTCTTCCAGAAAGTGAGTTTTGTCTTCTCACCCCTATCTGACACAGAAAGTGTAATAAACTTCCTATCTACAGACCACCTCAGTCTGTTACTACAGTAGCAAAGCAAYAGTAGCTTTCTAGAGTATGGGTAAYATTCACTTTTTGATTTTAAGATAATCTAATTCTACATTAGCATCCAACTACATTTTAAGGGGTAAATTCAAAAGTACAGGAAATAACAGTACAAATTACTATTCATTAAAATGAAAGAAGAGGTGATAACATTTAAAAAATACATACCTCAGTAGTACAGGCTGGCTGTCTTTTTTATKCATTATATACACTACAAATGTTTTAAATAGTTTTTGTTTTCAGAAAGAAGTTCTGAAAGGAATTTTATCAAGCCCTGTATTTTACCTAATTAGCTCACAGCAGACATGCTTTCAAGAAGCAGGGTCTTTTCAAGAGCTACACTTCCAACTTCAACCTTGGGGGATACAAGGTACCTTTTTTCTCTCTCTCAGAGATCATCAGGACAGCCCCGGCTTCCATTACAGCAAGGCAGATTGTTTAAAAAAATATTCAAAATATTTGCATAAATCATCATTTACTGTGTTCTTAACCTGCATAAACTTGATTAATAACAAAGGAGAGAATACTTCAGCTGGTACTGGCTGCAGATGTAGGAAAGTGGGAAACACTTTTTTTTCGGTATGTTTTTAGATCACTGAATTTTTAAGGAGYTTCAACTACTAAAGCACAAAGTATTACCCAAGCAGCATGCTACTTTCACCATGATCATTACAGGCTATGACAACTTCTAGGTGCTACACAAGAGCAGCAGAAAAGGGGCACACCCAAAACAGCTTCTTATTGCACAAAAACACACATGGGGATACACGCTCCTGTTTTATCCATGATCTAGCACCTAATGAACGAGCAGAGCATTGACATGTACTGACTGAAACACTTAAGAGGTTAAAAAGGACTAAAAAAACCCAGAAACCTCTATCTACAGCAAAAATAATCATCAGTAGAATTATAAAATGTAGCTTCTATGATTTCACCCTAAAAAGAAAAGATTTTCCATATCTTACCCCCTATTCCACCTCAAACTTCCTAGTTATGGAAGGTGATTTCCAGCAACCCTCTAGAAGCTCCATTTTCCCCAGGGCTAAATTCTCCCTTAGCTTCAGAGAATTCTGCGAGGTATTTCCCTCCAAATAATTTCAGATAAATAAATAAAGAAAGGATTTAAGCGAAAAAAAAAAAAATAAAATACTGGTATAACTCAAGTGAACCTCCAATGACGCCCCATCTGACTCATGTGTCATCCTTGCATCAGAGCTTGCATTTTGAAACAGAACTTCTCTGTATCCCTATCAAATCTAGGAACATTAGAGATCAAAAAGCTTTTCCTTCAAGTCCTTTTGTGACAGATGTGCCATGCATTCTTGACTTTTTGACACCTTCCCCAAGCGAGATGGCCAAAAGTCTCAAAGAGCCCTTGGCCACACACCAGCACAGGACCCCCGCACCAAGAACAGCTACGCCTGGTGCATGGCTCACACACAAAAGCACTCTACCTGCTGAGATGGTGACAGGACAGAACCAGCTACAGGGCCAGCAGATTTCATGTGTAAAGCATCTCTGAAGTTGAATTCAGCACAACTCCGTGATTGCTGCAGACTCTGCAAGACATGAGATTGGAAATAAAGTTTCATTTCAGGGGTATAGATTGCTTTCCATATGCACAATCCTTTGAAAATATCACATGCTTACAATATCTGGAGCTGCAAATGGTTAAATGTTTTGCAGTTTTATGGAAACTTAAAAAAAAAATAATAGACTTTATAACCACAATATGGCTTCTGTCATTCTAGTTCATTATCTACTGTTAGTCAGACTGGATGGTTACTCATTACATTGAAGGCTAGAAGAGACTATTAAAAATTATTTATTATGACCTGCTTGGCTTAGTTCTTTCCTATAACCACCAGCAACCATTTAATAAAAAAAAAAAAAAAAGCATCAAGACTCGGGACTAATTTTAATATTGCATCAGCTGGAAAACTAAAATACTGTTTTCAATTTTATATTTGATATAATTTATTCATCTTGTATCTTGAGACCAGAGAATTTATTTAATAGCTGCTTCATGGCAATAAGTATATTTTTTTCCATGTGCTCATATCTATGATTATTAAAACTTAACAGATACGGAACAGAAGTGAAATACCCCCACAAAAGTGACATCCTTATCCACAGATATCAGTTCYGAAATATTCCAGAAATAAAAAAAAGGAAAGCAATAAAAAATCTCTCAAAAAACAGAAGCAAAACTATTGCCAAAAATAATTCATTCTATTACAGTAAGCAGACTTAGCCACCCAAAAGAAGCCAAAAATAAAACCTTCATGTTATATAATATTTTAATTCATATATGTTGCAGCAGAACTCCTGACCTCTATATTTATAGCCGTCAGGCCAAAACTCTGGCTGATGCCCTGCTTCAAGTCTTACCACCCAAGTTTACCTAGTTCCCATAGCAAAATAAGAAAACAAATTTAAAATAAATGGAACATGGACAGATCACAGGCTGAAATACAGATACCTTCTGTATAGGAGATGGTTTTGCTTTGTTTTGTTTTATTTAAAATATACCCTTGTTAGTAGCATAAGGCCTGACATATAAAAATAGTTAAAGACCAAAATTCTAGCAGGATCCCAGACCAAAATTCTAACAGGATCCCTCTAGATCAGATATAACACAGATACAACACAGGACAATATAGAAACAGGACAACATTTCTTCAACTTAACAGCACAATAGAAAAGGTAGAAGAAGAAAAACAATAGCTGGCATTCAGAATATCAACCTTTTCTATTTTCAGGCATTTAACTWTCATTGCAAATAAAGACAAACCTTTTGCAGCACCTATTACGGCTTTTTCATTCTTCCCATCTTCCCAAATACTTGGTTTTTAAAGCAACAGAAATATTACTTTTTAGATATTTTTAATTTTATTTTATGCTATTTTTTACCAAAAAAAAAAAAAATCCCCAACAGTTGACAGGAAGCTGGGAGCATATCTTAAAAAGAGCACACACTGTTAACTTCCAAAACACCAGCTCTACAAAATGTTTTGACTCTAACGAAGTAGTAGGGGGCTGGGAGGAGAGGGAAAGAACACACAGATCTGCACTACAAGTTTGTAGTTTTGGGGCATACAATGAGTCATCAAGTTCTGATCTCCAATACAAACATAGAGTGTCTTTTCCAAATGTCAACAGGCATGAAGTTAATATATTTTTTAAAGGCTCCAGCTGAACTTTCCCATCCAAATATATTCCATAGCTGKCGATAATAGTGACTCAGCTAAAACAAGTTTTGTAAGAGCATTACAACTATAAAAAACACACACGCACAAGCACACGGAGAAAGATCTTATTTGCTAAGAACCTGTGACACTAATTTCTCTCTTCCACAGGACTTAGGGACAACTACACTTTCTACCGAAGCTGCTTCTAAATAAACAAATAGGAAGTTTAACCTTAGAAAATAAACCCACCATCCACTTTCAGGCACCTATATAAAAAAAAAAATCTGAACTAGGTATCAGTATTCAGTGAAAAATATGAACCACCAACTTGAGCTTTATATCAAGAGTTGTGACTGGGCCAGATAGAACTCTATCCCACTGTCTCTCTCCTGTGCTCATGGCTTGAGTTTAAACTTATTGGGTGGGTTTTCAGCATGATTTCACATTAAGAACTTAGCTCAATCTTTGGCATTTGGTAAAGTGCAGCGCAGTCTTCCAAAGAGAGGTCCTACAAGGTCTTAAGGAGTTGAAGGATATTTTAGATGCAGATGGTATTAACAGATTGCAGTAAAATAAAACAAACAGCAAGAGTCACAAGAGCATGCACTGCAAGACTTGCATCAAAAACTGCTCAAAACGGTATGCTGCAAAGTAAATCAAAGCCTTCACCTCCCCTGCAATTTTAATCATTACGTCCTGTTTTAGACCAGGTTAAACTTCTTCATTTTTCCCTCTTTTTCCTTTAGTCAATGTAGAGACTAGATAGTGCTCAGAGCCATAAGCAAGCTTGTCCAGAATTTCTTTTTAACCCTCAATAATGTAGCTATTTATTTATTCATGCTCTGTTCAGTAACATATTAATTATACAATCTAAGTGACTCACCAGCCCAAACTCCAGTTATCTTGACTCTTGCAGTGCAGAAAAGGAAATTGAAAGTTCCTTGTCACTAATGCACTGACCACTAATGAGAGCCTGATGCTCTGTTTGCATCTCTGTATCACTGGATCTCATTGCTACAGGCAAACTGCATCTGCTTCACTTGAGAGAGAGCTCATCAAATAGAAAGGTTTACTGATTTGTAAACAAATTTAATTTTTTAAGTTTAGATCAATCTGATTGAATATAAAAGCATAGGTTTGTTACYGAGATGAAATCCACCACTCCTTCAATATTTTAATTGAAGACTAACAGCAGTAAGAGTTCTGAGGACCTGGAGAAAGACCTTCAGCACCTAGATGAAAACCCAGGTTTTCCCAAGACCTGCAGAAATCTTGCCAGAAAGTTTCCAAACAGACACCGCTGTTTGGAATAACCTCAGGAGTTCTTTCGCTCATTAAATTCCCAATATCAAAGCAGAAGACAAAGAAAATAAAGAAAGATTAACAAGCTAATTGACCAAAAGACCAATTTTGTGCTTAAGAGGGGAACCAAGAGGCAGAACAGAAACGCTGCTTTTGCCCATTCTTCTGCGATTCTCCTGTTCTCTGCGCAATTTCCAACTTGTGAAGAGACTGAGACACAGACCTCACAAGAAGACTCAGCTTGCTGCATAAACCAAATTTAAGCTATGAATCTATTTCTTTTCTGGATGAAACTGGGCTGCGACAAAAAAAAAAAAAAAAAAAAAAAAAAAAAGACAGATTAAAAATGGAAAATATATTTAGGTGCATATGAAGCACATGAAAGTTCCCGGTGCACTTTTGCATCTTCTGGAGCTGTCCTATGGGCTGAAGTTCCTTTAATATTTTTGCGCTCCTGGGAGAGGAAGAAGAACAAAAAAAACGCCCAAACAAGCACCGCTCTCACGCTCCTCGCGAGGCATCCCTGGAGAAGCGCAAATCCCTGCGGATCAGAGCGGCAGGGCAGGCGCCCAGGGCTGCGCTCACCTGCCGAGGCCGAGGCCGAGGCCKCGGCCTCCCCGCGAGGGCCGGGGACAGGAGGGCAGGAGAGGCGGTTGCAGCAGCGCAGGCCCCGCTGCGGAGCCGCGCGCTAACGCTCCCTTTGGCACGCTAACAAGAATACCGGGGGAAACGAGGATTACGAAAAGCTCCTCAGCCAAATCCGAGCAGAACTTTATGGAACAAAAGAAAAATGCCTCTCCRGCCCCTGGCTTTTCCTGCCTGGCTCTGCCGCAAACAGGGGGAGCACCGGGAGCTGCAGGAGGGAGGCGGCCGGGCCGGWCGGAGGCGAGTGCCCTTCAGAGCCGCTGTCACCTCCCGTGCTCGCGTGACCGTTGGCCTTTCGGGGTGCGGGCGGCGCCGCCACCCGCGCTACCTCTGCAGCGGGGCCGGGGGGGTTCCCGCTCGCACCGACAAGCCCACCGAGGGCACGGGAAGACAAAAGCCCCTGGGGAGCAGCACCCTCCGCACCGCCGGGCCCG